AGCAGTTTTCCATATATGGTTAACATACATCCATTACATGATAATTGACATTTTCTAATTACTAAATTCCAGCCCTAATTTATAGTACATGAGATAATTTTTAGCTAAACATCCTCCTTAGTTCTGTATCCGCAGATGCGTAGATTTATGGCTTCCTTTGATAAAAAGTAACTTCTTGTTCCATATGGATGTCCTTACATTCTTGACAACTACGTTCTTCAGAAGGTATATATATTTATTACCCAGGATGTAATTTAGCTGATTTAGTGTAATCTTCCAAACAAGTATTGTTCTTCCAAATCAGCACATTTCTTTCTTACAATAATGTGAATAAGGAGGGCCCTTCAGTGTTCATATAGCTGATCCTGCATCATTCACATTAACGTGGCTTGGTGGGCGTGGCAAGGGAAGGTTACTGCAAAATCCTCATTTCCTCCCGATCAGCTGGGACTTGGGAGGCAGAGAATAGATGGGGGCGGGGCCTGTCAGAATTTTTACTACCGGTTCTCCGAACTACTCAAAATTTCTGCTACCGGTTCTCTAGAACTGGTCAGAACCTGCTAAATACCATCTCTGATTTAGCTCCGTGTTTCTCAACCTTGGCAACTTTTAAGATGCGTGGATTTCAACTCCCAGAATTCCCCAACCAGCAGACTTGCTAAGGTTGAAAAACATAGATTCAGCTGGATTGCTTTTATTTTCCCATCTGCCAGTCTGATGTTTAGAGGTTGGCTATGCCAGTTTATACCTGCATTCTAACCTAGTAGCTCTCAGGTACATAAATCTCTGTGTTAATGACAACAGTTAATAAAACTAAAGTTGTTTTTTAAAACATGATCTCCTTATTAAAACTCACATGAAATCCAAAACAAAAAGATACAACTTATCTCCCTGGCCTAGGAAGATGGCTCTGATGCCAAATCTTCTTGAAAATAGTGTATCTTTATGGAGAAAGGAAACAACTAAATTGTTTCAGCTATTTGTTTAATTGCCAGCTATAAGCTTCTCAAGGCTTTGGATTAGTAAAGCTGAGATAAGGAAGATGATACAACACTGGGTATGTAAGTTTTTATCTCTATCGGAGATAAAGTATTCTGTGTGACTCAAAGATTTGTCTATTTCTTTATAGACAGATTTTGCGCTAATAGAAAATATTCTTTTGCGTATTTCAGGACAATCTTTTTAGCTATTTGATAGATATGTGTTATCATTGGGAACTGAGTTTGAACTAGCACATCTATTAAACAAAACTTTCCAGGTTCATATTTTTCTTTTTTAGAATTTTTTAAAATTAAGTTTCATTATAAAATAAAAATATACAGGAAACGAAAGTCAGAAAAAGAAAGAAAAAGGAAAGAGAAAAGGGCAAAGACAAATGAAAGAAGTAATGATTTCCAACTTCCTTTGGTGCAGTAGATTACAAAAATAATATAATTTCAAGCTATTTCTATAATTATAAAGTCATTCTAATCGTGAATATCAGGTTCATGCTATCATATGAGCAACCTGTTCCAAGTCTAGCCATGCATTGACTGTAAATGTTAATACAGGGTAATTGCTTTTGAGATGGTCAAAGATTGCTAGCTGTAAAGCAATATAACAACTTTCTATCTTGCCATCCATATGATGAAGCGATGTCTGAGACAGATGGACTATGAACAAAACCTAGAAGCAGTTTACTGGGGCAAAGACCAAGAGTCACTTTAAAAATTGAAAACAGGAATATATAAATCAGGGTATCTGATAGCCTGTTAGAATAATAAAGAGAGAACTGCAGCACAACTTAGCACTCTCGTCAGCCAGCTCCCCACTCAGAAAATTTTGTTCTGGTGCCAATGTCATTTCCCTTAATCCTGGAGCATAGAATAATAGGGCTGGGAGAGACTTTGGAGGTCTTTTAGTCCAACTTTCTGCCCATTGCAGGAGATCCTGAGCTGTGGTGGCACAGTGGTAAGAATGCAGTAATGCAGGCTAATTCAGCTCACTGCCAGGAGTTTGATTCTCACTGGCTCAAGGTTGACTCAGCCTTCCATCCTTCTGAGGTCGATAAAATGAGGACCCAGATTGTTGGGGGCAATATGCTGACTCTGTAAACCACTTAGAGAGGGCTATAGAGTGGTATATAAGTCCAAGTGTTCTTGTTGTGCTATTCTATACCATTTCGGACAAATGGATGTCCAATTTCTTCTTTAAAGCCTCCAGTGTTGGAGCATTCACAATTTCTGGAGGCAAGCAGTTCCGCTGATTAATTGTTCTCGCTGTCAGGACATTTCTCCTTAGTTCTAGGTTGGGTCCCTTTTTAATGATTTTCCACTCCTTATTTCTCGTCCTGCCCTCAGGACAAGACTGTATAATATTTTCTTGTTTTCTCTCCTCTAATTCTTAGTCAGCATCCGGTGCCCACCAAGGTTTGGGGCAGTGTGAGGAATTCCTGACTCAGGAGGAGGTGGGTTGGGTTTTTCCCTCCTAAGGATATTTTTGGACTTCTGTAGAATTTGGGTTTTTCCCAATGCTGCCGATTCCTGATACTAAAGGTCTGGATTTATACAACACACCAAGTTAAGGAAAGATTTAGCAGCAGTATGTTTACCAAGGGATAAACTTGCTTAGTTGTTATCTTGGTTCATTCTTTTTCAGATAAGTAGATTGTGTGAATCCGGGTTATTGGCTTAGTTTATAATCCAGAGTAATTTGTAAAGCCAGAAATTAGTTAATCAGAAACCAGGTTAAAGGTTATTGTGCAAATATTAAAAGTGTGCGTGAATACAGTAGTGTCTCAAGATTAAGTATATATACTGCAGACTACAAATAACATTAATACAGGTAGACCTCGCTTAGTGACTACAATTTTGACCAGTAACTCCCACACTAAACACTACAGACGCTAATGGAAAACCAGAAGACTGTGACTTATATTACTTCCTATTCAGTCATTAAGTGAAACATCATGTGATTGCAACTTGCAATTTTATTGCCATGTTCTACATTAATTCCACTGGCCAAGTGCTGATTGGGAATCATGAGACCACAGGATGCGGTGACAGTTGTAAATTCAAGGATTGGTCACAAAGCTTTTTTTTTACACTATTGTAACTTCAAATGGTCACTAAATGAGGCAGTCAGTAAATAGGGCCAGGGACTGCCTGAAAACAGAGAAATGACATACAATCCAACAGATATTTTCCCCATAACACCATGTGAGGTAGTTGTGCTGAGAGAGAGATGGACTGGCCCAGTCACCCAGCTAGCTTTCATGTCTAAGGTGAAACTAGAACTCACAGTCTCCTGGTTTCTAGTCCAGCACCTTCACCACCAAAGTGGTTGTACATTAAGACATCATATAAAGCTATTATTTTCTTCCTCTCTTAATGAGAGCAGGGTGGGGGCTGGGGAGAAGAGAATTTGGCAATTAAATGTGGAAGAGGACAACTTCTGAATACCCTGGAAAAGGTCTATAAATAATGTAGACTGACTGTACAGTAAAAATTATCTTGGGGACCACTCAACTCCCTCCATCTGTCTGTCTGTGTGTGTGCACGCATGTGTGTGTATGCGTGCGTGCATAAAGTTTCTGTAGTTGCACTTGATGGAAGTTTCAACAAATCATAGCTCTTGTTTTGGTTGTGGGTGCCTGTTGTGAGGTGCAGTGAAAAGTTAAAGACAGGTTCCAGTATTTTTATTTTCTCAAGTGCTATCAGCAAGTCAGATATTCCTCACCCTGTTATCTGGGGTTTGATTTGTTTTCAAAATGAAAAACTTTGCATTTGTCTCTGAAATATCAAGTTAAACCTGCTTTTTTAACCTTGGTAACTTTAAGACTCGTGGACTTCAATTCCCAGAACTCCACTGCAGATTTCTGGGAATTGAAGTCCACAACTCTTAAAGTTGCTGATGTTGGGAAACACTGCTCTTAACATATCAAATTTAATTTGAAGTACGCTTGTCTTTTAATGTATTAGCACCATGCAATTGTATGTTATCTAATTTCCTCTACACCTTCATCCAAATCATTAATAAAAATATTGAGCAGTAAAGAGCCCAACCTCAATTGTATGCCAAATCCCTGAATATCTCACTTGTTTCATGAGCAAGTGAAAAGCAAGAGAAAACCCACATTTTTTTATCTTGACCAGTAGTTACTTTCCCTAGTCTTCCTCCTAAGCATAATTTATGGTGTTTCTGTTGCTCCCCTCTGAGAGGAGGTTTCGAAGTACTTTAGGACTACCAGATTCTGTAATAGCTTTGTTCCCTATGCCGATCCGTCTAGTAAAGTCGCAAGATTCGTTTTTCTCGCCATATACATGAATACATCCAAACTAGACTGTGTTGTTTCTTTGTGTCATATATGTGGGCATATGCATAATTTTGTATTTATTTTGTCATGTTTATGTAGTGTGTATTGGAGGTGATGACCCTTTGAGAGCTGTATGCAACGAAATTTCATTTTAATGCATGACAATTAGTGTACGTTCAAAGTGACAATAAAGTTTATTCTAACTTTATGATTTGAAATGGCCTCAATTCAAGATCTGGAGCATTTAATATCCTACTCCAGCATGCCTTGATCTCAGGGGTGAAATCCAGCAGGTTCTGACGAACCGGTACCGGAAATTTTGAGTAGTTCAGAGAACCAGCAAATACTACCTCTGGCTGGTCCCAGAGTGGGGTGGGAACGGGGATTTTGCAGTATCCTTCCCCTGGAGTGGGGTGGAAATGGAGATTTTGCAGTATCCTTCCCTTGGAGTGGGAGGGAATGGGGATTTTGCAATATCCTTCCCCTGCCACGCCCACCAATCCACACCACGCCCAAGCCACGCCCACAGAACCGGTAGTTAAAAAATGTGAATTTCACCACTGCTTGATCTGAAGTAAAGCACATCAACGAAAGCGCAGAATCCAGCCTCTTTTGTACACCCATGTCTTCTGAGCGGCGCAAATATTAAACGTCACACAGAGCCAAGCCAGGCTTCCCCCGGGAGAACTCCGTTACTGTAAAGCACCATTTTCTTTTCTTCCTTTCAACCAGGCCGGGCACGGACTGCAGCTTTCCGTACAATGACGTAATAAGTAAGATGGTGCCGCCCAGACCAGGCAGAGAGGAATACGCAGGCGTGAGCGTGGAGTGCTTTGCTGGGGTCCAGGCGGAGAGACTCTCTCGCTTTATCGGAGAATCTTTGACTGTGGGATTCACACGTGCATCGACAGAGGGTTGCTCCACCGGGCGGACAGGTGCGTGTTGGCTGACTCGGGAGCTTTACCATTTAAGCGGAGACTTGGGGTCTGGGGGTCTGGGGGGGGCGGTCTGGGACCCCGTTGCAGCTACATGCAAGTTTCCCCAAAGAAGAAGCAAGGCAAAACGTTTGCATCTGCCCCAGGATACTTGTCGCAGGATAATGACGCCTTGCTTCCTTGTTTTAATGTTATTGAGCCGAATTTCTTTCTTTCTTTCTTTCTTTCTTTCTTTCTTTCTTTCTTTCTTTCTCTCTTTCTTTCTCTTTCTTTCTTTCTTTCTTTCTTTGTTTTCTTTCTGTCTTTTTCTTTCTGTCTTTTTCTTTTTTTTTCTGTCTTTCTTTGTTTTCTGTCTGTGTTTCTTTTTGTCTTTCTGTTTTCTTTCTATCTTTTTCTCTGTTTTCTGTCTTTCTGTTTTCTCTCTGTCTTTCTGTTTTCTTTCTTTCTTTTTTCTTTCTGTCTGTCTGTCTTGCTTTTTTGCTTTCTTTCTTTCTTTTTTTGCTGTTTTGATTTATGAAACGTCCGGAGTCACGAAAGTGGAAGGAATTAAAAAATAAAAAACTAGCAAAACAGTTCAGGGGGAAACAGTTGCCCTGGTTCAGACGTTGTTTCAAATCGTGCTTATTCTCCTCCTCTAGAGAAACTGGGCGCTACAGCAAATGAAGGAAGACTTTGATAGAAGTTTTGATGAAATGGTGCATTGTGGAGCAAGGGCCTGGTGGAGTTTTACTTCGTGGTGGGTGGAGTCTTAGGCAGGTAGGATTTAAACTTGCATCAGGAAGGAGCCCACCATGCATCTTGGGTAGTAGCCAAGATAGACTCAATACATTCTATTGTCAGGATTCATATAGGTGGTCTAAGCCAGAGGTCTCCAACCTTGGCAAACTTTAAGCCTGGCGGACTTCAACTCCCAGAATTCCCCAGCCAAGTAGCTGGGGAATTCTGGGAGTTGAAGTCCACCAGGCTTAAAGTTGCCAAGGTTGGAGACCCCTGGTCTAAGCAGTAAACTACACTTTGTAAAATATGCCCAACCCACTTCACAGAATAATGGGAAAAATAGGCACATTTGCCTCCTTGAGTTTTTTTCTTATATATTTTTGTGTATGTTGTGATTAAAATCTAATTTAATAATAATAATGCTGTCTGACTTCACACCACCCAAAAAAGCCAAAATATATTGGCTTAGCATGCATGACATATTAACCTAGCCACATTTCTGAATCACCTTTTAGTCTGCGACAGGCTCTTGTTTCTCATCTGAAGGCTAAGCTAGTCATTTTCAAGGGGTTATTTACAAGGGTTGCCTCTTTTCTTTACAAGAAAATGATCTGAGTGTCATCATTTGCCTTCAGATTGTATTACACCACAGCAATGTTATTAAATCTGTGATTCTATACATCATTTAAAAAAACACCACCACCACCACAACCAAATGTTCATTCAACTTCTAATTGACTTTGAATTCCTAATTGACTATTAGACAGTAGGAGATGTACGGGCAAAAGTCATAAAAGGAGAAAGGCATATCAGCTATCTTTTCCTTGGATAAATCCTTCCTTTTTGTTTGCAGAGACAATATTGAAGTTTTGTATTTTGTTGACTAAGTTATCTTTCTCCCCTCTGTGTTGGAACTATAGATCCCACATTGCTTGGAAATTTTGGGAGTCAAAATTGTAAGAGGAAAGAAAGGTATCACATAGGAGAGCCAGGACTAGATTTTTAAATATATGTTCTGGTATATGTTGTGTTCTTTGCTGTTATAGAATGGAGGCCCCACCTGTTACTATGATGCCAGTTACTGGCGGTACCATTAACATGATGGAACATTTGCTTCAAGGTGAGTTATAGGCAAGGATTTGCTTGACTCTTATATCTGATTAATTTTACAGTATATGTCAGTCCCTTAAAAGAGTACAAAGTTGTTTAATCATTCAAGTATCTTCCTTTTATAACTGCACTACTAAAAATATAGAAAGAAATATTACCTAGGATTTGAGCTGGCAACCCATGGGGCTGTTGGACACATTGCACATTTAAAAATACAGGTTCTCTACAGTATATACCTGCGATGGCGAACCTAGGGCACGCGTGCCACCTGTGGCACACGGAGCCATATCAGTGGGCACGCGAGGATTGCCCTAGCTGAGCTCCAGGGTGTATGCATGCCCTGGCCAGCTGGTTTTCGGGCCTTCTGGGCCCACTGGAAGTCAGGAAACAGGCCATTTCCGGCCTCCGGGAGGTTGGGGAAGACCGTTTTTGCCCTCCCCAGGCTTCTAGAAAGACTGGAGCCTGGGAAGGGTGAGAAACGGGCCCACTGTGCCATCATGTGCCAAAAGCAGGGGGAGCACGGGGGGGGGGGGGCAGTGGGGGGGGGGGAATTGAATTATTCTGGGGGGGGGCAACCAAACAGCAACCCCCCCCCCCCATGCAACCCCCGCTTTTGGCACGCGACGGCAAAAAGGTTAGCCATCACTGGTATATACTCTGCTGTGAACCATCCATGACTATCTGAATACAAATAGTCGTCGACTTACAACAATTCATTTAGTGACTGTTCAAAGTTACAATGGCACTGAAAAAAGTGACTTAGGACCATTTTTCACACGTGTGACCATTCCAGCATCCTCACGGTTACGTGATTTACATTTGGATGCTTGACAAATGGTTCATATTTATGACGGTTGCAGTATCCCGGGGTCATGTGATCACCTTTTGCGAGCTTCTGACAAGCAAAGTCAATGGGGAAGCGAGATTCGCTTAACAACCTGGTGACTAATTTAAAAACTGCAGTGATTCACTTAACAAATGTGGCATGAAAAATTGTAAAATCGGTCAAAACTCACTTAACAAATTTCTCACTTAGCAACATAAATTCTGAGCTCAGTTGTGGTCGTAAGTCGAGGACTATCTGTACTTAATTTGGCACCCAACAACTATCTTACATTCAGATTCGCATATGTTTGGTATGTACATAGTATAATTTGTGATTAGGCTCCTTTGTTAAGAAGAATCATCATAGCTGTATCTTTTGTGAAGGATTGTGCCTTTTTCTACTCAGTACAGTTTCTAGAGAGACTCTGGTACTATTTGTGGTCCTACATAGTTTTTAGAGGGGACGCAGTGGCTCAGTAGCTAAGACGCTGAGCTTATCGATCAGAAAGGTCGGTAGTTCATTGGTTCGAATCCCTAGTGCCATGTAATGGGGTGAGCTCCCATTACTTGTCTCAGCTTCTCCTAGCAGTTCAAAAGCATGTAAAAATGCAAGTAGAAAAATAAGGACCACTTTGGTGGGAAGGTAACAGCGTTCTGTGCGCCTTTGGCTTTTAATCATGCCGGCCATATGACCATGGAATTGTCATCAGACAACGCTACCTCTTCAGCTTAGAATGTAATTTAATTTAATTAATTCAATTTATATGCTGCCTCTCTCCGAAGACTCAAACAGAGATGAGCGCTGCCCCCTAGAGTCGGGAACAACTAGCACATATGTGCGAGGGGAACCTTTACCTTTACAGTTTTTAGAAGATGGCAGATTGGTGGACAAGAAGAAACTTTGCTCGTGTCAGTAAAGACCAGTTAGCAATTCAGTGTTGCCTTTTCTCCAGGTAGCGTTTTGGATCAAAGCCTGGAAAGTCTTCTTCATCGACTCCGTGGCCTTTGTGACAACATGGAACCCGAGACTTTTGTAGATCACGAGATGGTCTTCCTTCTCAAAGGCCAACAGGCCAGCCCATTTGTCCTCCGCACGCGACGCTCCATGGACAAACCTGGTGCTCCTTGGCACTTGCGGTATCTCGGACAGCCGGAAATGGGAGACAAAAACCGCCATGCCTTGGTACGGAATTGTGTGGATATTGCCACCTCAGACAACCTGACAGACTTCCTGGTAGAAATGGGCTTCCGCATGGACCATGAGTTTGTAGCCAAGGGGCACGTGTTCCGCAAAGGCATTATGAAGATTGTGGTCTACAAGATCTTCCGCATCCTTCTCCCAGGAAACACCGATAACATCGAGCCTTTATCTCTTTCCTACCTTGTGGAGCTCAACATCGTGGCCCCAGCGGGACAAGATATGGTTTCCGATGACATGAGGAGTTTTGCTGAGCAGCTAAAGCCCTTAGTCCATTTAGAGAAAATAGATCCTAAAAGATTGATGTGAGATGGATTGTAACGGCAGAGGTATTCCTTTTAGAAAGATAGAAAGATTTCAGAAATTCATATATCCTAAAGAAAAATACATTAAGAGAGTCTGGTTGCCTGACGCTAATCTGACTGTAGGTTACTTTTTCAAACGATAAACAATAAAGAAGATAATTTTGCTGTTGGCTTCCTCTTTGGACAATAGTAGTCAAATCTTCTTTCAGCCAGATTAATTTGAAATGGTTTTGATTTTAAAATTGGTTCTTTTTGTTTGTTTTTATGTTCGCTGCAAATTCTGGGTGACTTAAAATAATGCCCTGTTTCCCTGAAAATAAGACATCCCCTGATAATAAGCCCCATCAGGTTTTTGAATGCATGCCCTAAAATAAGTCCCTTCCCCCCTTAAAAATAAGTCCTCTCCACATGTGCAGCCGATCCCTGCCATTTCCTCTGATTTTCTCCATGCTGGAACGCTGACAACGTGCCCCAAAATAATAAGACCTCCCCAAAAATAAGGCCAAGCACTTATTTTGGGGTTCAAAAAAATATAAGACAGGGTCTTATCTTCAGAGAAACACGGTACATATTCATTCTTTTTGAAGTATTTGCTAACCTGCATTCAAGTTGCATTTATTAGGGAGACTTGTCTGAGTTTAGACTGATTCCTATTGATTAGGGTGTCAAACTCAAGGCCCTAGAAACAGTGAAGGATCGGCCCGCAGTGCCTCTGCCAGCAAAACCGAGCTAGGAAGGGCCACATGTGGTCCCCTAAGCTCCATTTTTGCTGGCAGAGGGCTGCAGGAAGCCATCACAGCTGAACATGGGGCTTGGGGGGGCAGGCTGCGTGCGGCCCCCTCAAACTCCGTTTTTGATGGCAGAGGGCTGCAGGAGGCCGTTGCGGCCAAAAATGGAGCTTAGGAGCGCGTTTCACTGGCAAGAGTGCTCAGGCCACCACAGACGCCCCTGACACGAGTGACGTCAAGCTCCCCCCTGCCCCCCACTCAAGGTCAAACAAACTCTGACGCGGCCCTTAATGAAACCGAGTTTGACACTCCTGCTATTGATCTTTCATCCACGGAGAATAATAGGTACAGGTAGAAGTAGTAAGTATTTTAATAATAGATGGACCTTATTGGTCCTGTGCAGAATATTTCCCAACACCTTCTGAGAGGAATTACTGTGGTTTCACAGAAATGTATAAAATGGCGATGGATAGAGAGGAAGCCCCTCGATTTATGACCATTCATTTAGTGAAGGAACGTGCCACCAGCCATCATACAACCATTGCAGCATCGTCTTGGTCACGTGATCACACAGCAGTTGCAACATACCAAACTCACCTGATGACGTTTTCCAATCTTCCCAGCCAGCTTCTGACAAGCCAAGTGTCAACATCTGAGACGGTGACATTGCGCTATTTCGGAGTTGCCACAGCCAGGAGGGGAAAGGGGGTTGCATGGGGTGCACTACTGGGTTTCGGGTACTGGGTGTTGCGACGGGTGCATGGAGGAGGGGGAGGTGCAACAGACTCCGAGGGGCCCTGGAAGGGTGAAGTGGCAATGGACAGAGACCCTTTGCTGGAGCAGGCCTGGAGCGTGCCATTGGGTCCTGGGCTTGCCATGCCCTCATAACCAGTTGGCAAGTGGAAGGAAGCCTGTAATGCTGGCTAGATTCCCATTTTACTGTGTGCCAAGTTGAGAGCAGTAAAGGGGAATTGCTCTACCAATGGTGTGGTCTCGGTTCTTACTGGCTACGCTCGGAACCATGACGTAACCAGCATTACCGTGACATAAAGTTAATGGGGAAACTGGCAAGGAAGGTTGCAATTTGTGTGTCAGGGTTCCAAGTAACACCCCCAACGCAAGAAGACTCAAAGGCTAGAAGTTCCTCAAAATTCCATTTTATTAGAGATGTCCTATTGTCACATCTGGGAAAAGCCGAATCTGAAAGCTTCCAGGTTTTCCCCACCCAAAGGGAACTCCAAGTCCCTTCTGCACCCACATATCCATCACATGGTCCAATCCATGCACTGTCCCAACTGGAGATGCCTCCCAGTCACACCCCTCCAGGTGCAGGGCATGATGTCCTTGACTCTCAGAGAAAGGAATGTTGTTATGGCTAGATATCCCTGCAACTCCATGCAATCCCCCTTCCCAGTTTCCCACAGCACTAAGTGTGGCATCCCTGAAGATCCAAAGAAAAAGAGTTGGGGCTGACATTGTGATCACATGATGTCTCACTTAACAATTGAGGCAAGAAAGGTGGTAAAATCAGGTAGGGTTTCCCTTAACAACTACACCACTTCAAGACGGATTGTCCGGTCCCAATTGTAGTGATACAGCAAGGACTCCCTGAATAAGACACTTCTACATTAAAAGCATCATTACGCAGACTTAAGTCATCCTGGCTTCAACTATGAAATAATTACGGTAGTCCTCAATTTATGACCACAATTGAGCCCAATGTTTCTGTTGCTAAGTGAGATATTCGTTAAGGGAGCTTTGTCCCGTTTTACAACCTTTATTGCCACAGGTGTTAAGGGGATCACTGCGGTTGTTAAGTTAGCAGCACGGTTGGTAAGTGAATCTGGCTTCCCCATTGACTTTGCTGCTCAGAAGGTTGCAAAAGGGGAAGCCAGAAACATCAGTGGTGAAATGTAAAATTTGTTACTACCGATTCTGTGGGCGTGGCTTGGTGGGGGGGTGTAATGTGACTGGGTGGGCGTGGCCAACTTTTTTTTAAAAAAAAACCTTTAAAAGCATTTTTTCTACAACCTCTTTGGCTGAAGAGGTTGTAGAAAAAAATGCTTTTAAAAGGCTCTGACGATCCCAGCTGAGCCGCGCGATCATCAGAGGCTTTTTTGTGGAAAAAATGCTTTTAAAAGTAAAAAAAAAAAAGCCTCTGATGATCGCGCGGCTCAGCTAGGCATGAGGGGGGGCACCCACCGCCATCGCTACCGGATCGGGCGATCTGGTCCAAACCGGGAGCATTTCAGTTCCCTTTTCCCGGGACACTGCGACCATCATAAATTATGAGTCAGTTGACAAGTGTCTGAATTTTGGTCACATGGTCATATGACCCTGGGGATGCTGCAACGGTCTTAAGTGCTGAAAATGGCCATAAGTGGCTGTTTTCAATGTTGTAACTTCGAATGGTCACTAAATGAACTGTTGCAAGTCGAGGACTACCTGTAATTAATTAATTATTGACTCAGATTAAAATCCATCTAACGTGGGTCCTTGAAATAGGCTGCTCTAAATTCTTGCATATATAGGAGAGCCCCCACTGGAAAGCTGTCTCCCGGGCTTCGCCTCAGTTTTGGAACTGGCTCTCAGAAAAGCTGCCTCAGAATTGTTGGATATGAGATGGGCGGCATATAAATTTCATAATAAATAAAAGAATTGGCTCAACCAACAGAGCCTAAATTGGAAAACTGGCCCTTGCTTTCTGAAAAGAGATTTACCACGACTGTTTTCCTAATGAATAAGTACAGATTGAAGTACTGGTGAAAATTTAGCTGCTGCTTCAGTCATCGCGAGTCTGTAACCTTTTCGGATTTGAATTAATCCTCTCGTATGTCAGCAATAATTAACCTGCCCTTCCTCCTGATTGCTGCAATCTGATATCATGCCACCTGGTCAGTTACGGGACTGAGACAAGTGGGGTGGGGTGAACGTTGCGCCAGGAAGAGTCTCCTCAGCATGTGACTGATGCTACCTCGTACTCCAATCCCTCACCGAGAGCCACCGACAGTTCTTATCCTTTTTTCCATTATTGACCGTACATTGTTATGGGATGCGTAGAACATAAAGTGGTGTTGATGGAGCTCAAAGCAGTTGCGTAGACATGCTTGAGTGATACATCACCCCAGCCCTGCTTTATTTGAGGTGAGGTGCCTCTGTGCAGCATGGTAACGCGAACAAGGAACAGAATGTAACATAGCCTACAGCATTCTTTGTTCTTCTTCTTCGGAGAATGCAGCTCTTCTTTTGTTATGTAATTGACATAACACTCACCCTTCTGAGCTGCATCTCATAAAGCCAGAAATAATTGTTCCGCTAAATACCTTCCAGGGTATAGATGCAAATCATAAAGATGTGTCTAATCATAACAATGTAGTGGGTAGTAGCATGCATTTAATTACTCCCCTGTTTTTTTTTTCTAACTGTGATCCGGAATTACCAGAATGTTTTTCCAAGATTCTTTAAAAAAACAACCACAACAACCTATTGCGTCTTGTCTCTTGGGAAATTGTCAAGGGGTGGGGACCAGGAGATGGGCCTTCTCTGCCATAGCCCCTGCCCTCTGGAGCAGGGGTCTCCAACCTTGGCAACTTTAAGACTTGTGGATTTCAACTCCCAGCTTTGTTGGCTGAGGAATTCTGGGAGTTGAAGTCCACAAGTCTTAAAGTTGCCAAGGTTGGAGACCCCTGCTCTGGAGTATTCTCCCTTCAGAGATCAGGGTGACCCTGTCTCTGATAGCTTTTTGTAAGGCCGTGAAGACTTGGTTAAGTGCTTGGACTGCCCAGGGTCACTTGTTGAGATAGGTGGCCATAGAAATTAAATAAATTGCAGGGCTATCTGCATTGCAGATAGAATGCACCAAGGTGTAGAAGACTGATAAAGTTGCATTTGATTTCAAAAATCTTCAGTGCAAGCCTAAATACAGTATAATAGCATGTTGTCGATGTTGACATGTGCCCCATCTAAAAAGTTGCCAAGGTTGAAAAAATAGTGGCACATATTTTTATGTATTTACAGTATTTGTATCCTGCCTTTATTATTTTTACAAATAACTCAAGATGAGGAAGATATCCAACACAACTGCCTCCTCAGAGATTCTCAGTCATCCAGGTCATGGTTGTCCCAAAGGTGCTTTTTCCTGAGGCAACTGGACTTTATTTTTTTTTCTTTTGAGGACGTTTTGCTTCTCATCGAAGAAGCTTCTTCAGCTCTGACAGGATAGTGGGGAATGGAAGGATTTATAGCCCTTGCAGACAGTTGGTCATTTGCATCCTTTAGAGGGTCATTGAAGCACTTGGAGGTTTATCTGTGTCCTCAGGATCACCTGAGTAGTGCAAATGGTTCCTGTAGTCTGCCATTTTTCTTCTGGAAATCCATTCCCGCACCATTCAAAGGGTGTTCATCCCAAATTGTATAATTAAAAGTCTCTACAGGAGA